CACCCCACCCACACCCACACCCTCACCCACACCCACACCCACACCCACCCGCACCCTGCACACCTACACCTACATCTTCCGATACACCATCATACAACATTCACACTCATCCATCCACACCCGCATACTCCATCCCTCTGCACAGAGAAATACTTTTGAGGAATAGAAACTGTTACAGCATTGATGATTGTCTCACATCTTTGTGAGAGTCTTCAGAATTCCGATCCATATTTTCGGGTGACAGCGAAAGGGTGTGGGTGTCCGTGTCCGTGTGTGTCCTTTTAGTACTCCTACATACTTACCCACCACCACCTCCACCTCCATCCACACCCACACCCACACCCACACCCACACCCACACCCACCCACACACCCACACCCACACCCACACCCACACCCCCACCCCACCCACACCCACACCCACACCCACCCACACCCTCTTCGTCGTTTACATATTCGACTTAATCATTCACGTTTTCTTAAAAGTCTCATGGAATATGTTCCTAATCTCGAACAAATATCGGTGGAATTTGATAGTTCATTAGAATTCGATACATTATGGAAATCAAACATTGAAGTATTGAGACAATCAAATGAAAATTGGTTCAATAAAGTAAGAAATTGAAAAGGAAATTAATCGTTAGTTTTCCATTTTACAAAATCTCTCAAAATAGTTCTTTCTTAATTAGACAAACAAAAAAAAAACGAATCGTATTGCTTTAGATACCAAAACTACAAGGTTTTAGTTTGAAAACTTTTATTGATGATGATTTAGAATTTATTTATTTGAAATGGCTTCTTAATGATTTAAATTATGTTAAAAAACTTTAAATTCATATTAAAAATGATATAGGAAAATGTCAAAATATATGGAAATATTTGATTGATGCAAATTTCATTCGTCAATATTGTTTACCTAATAGAATACCTTATTTAATTGATTTCAGATTTTATATTTGTTTAAAATGTCACTTATTATATTATGATATAGAAAAAATAATTAATTCATTTAAAATTCATTCTTTTTTTATTTCACATCAATGGACAAATGTTAAATGTTATTATACGATTCGATAATGTCATGTCAACATCTTTTCTCTTCTTTTATTAATGTATTTCAATCTTTTGATAGTCGAAAGTTAGTTATTAGTGATTTAAAAAAATTTGAAGAACTCCTTTGTTAAATGACATATCTTTTTTGTTTTAGTAATTATGTATTTTCAATTTCTTACGTTTTGGCGACACATGCTTTAATTCATATCCATCATTGCATTTATTTTTGAAACAATTTAATGAATTATCTCCTAATGTCTCTCATATCAACATATATAAAAGTAAATTAATTTGTCATTTCAATGATCCTTTGATAAATAATGGAGTAAAGACATAATAATAACTATGAGTATACTGACACAATTTCGTAAGAAATTTACAGAAAAGAGAAAGAAGAAATTTTCATCGAAACAGTTATACGAGGATAGATATTCTTTATAGATATTTATCTTTCTCTTGTATTGAACTTAGTCTAATAGAAAAATTTCTTTTTGTTTTTTAGCATGTAACGACGATTTTGATAAATCTGATCTTGTAATGTCATTGAAAATTTTATACAAAATGAGACAAAACAAGAGAATTGATATTCCTTTTCGAAATGTTACAAAAATTCAATTTGGAATGTATTTTCATCGAAAAAAATTGTTAGTATTCATGTTTTTTTCTTCTGTTTTTGTGCTAATTGTTTATAGCTTGAAAGAAACATTGTCGAAGTTGTTGTTTTTTATTTTTTTCTACTATAAACTAGATATGTCATAATTCGATTGCTTTATAGATATATCTAATTTCACTACGGACTAAGTTTATTCTAAGTCTTTTCTATGTAAAAGAGAACACCACTAAACGTTTACTCTTGAAGATTAAATTCATCATCAATAAAGAAAATGTAGTACTTTCGATTATAATACAAAAATATAAGACTTTCTGTTCGAATTTAAATCAATGTCAACCATTTTTTCTCGACATTTGCTTGAATTTGAATAGTTTTTATGAGCAACAGTTCGATCTATCAGAGTTTTTATGATTATCGCATAAAATATAAATTTATTTTCGACAATTCGATGATGACAATAGATGAAAATGAAATATGTGCAAAAGTGCTTGTTCATCTCATTTCAATGACTGTACAACTCAAATATCTTCGAATTGAAAGATTCGAATGGCTTTTACATGTTATTCAATACGTAAGACATATTTTTTTTTAATTCTTGAATATATTCAAATCAATGAATTGGATGATCAAATCTTTATTGTAATAATGAGTAAATATTTCTAAAAGTATGATTCTCATTAGTATTTGCCTTTACATATATATTTCAGTCAAAGATTATGGGTTACACAAAGTGATAAGCTATTTATTTTTTGTATATAACTTGAGAACTAGAGACCTATAGGGCACTCTTCAATTCTGAATAATCCCATTTGTACATTTCGAAGAACACCGGAGTGAAACAAATGGGATTCCGGTAATGTAAATCTTTGTCCTGCAGATATCTACTTAGATTATTTATGTTGATTTAATAAACTAAGTCTAATAGGTTAGTATGATTTACTTATTTCTTTTTCGTTTTCTATTTAGACATCCAATGAATTAAGAATAAATGCATTAAGTACTGTACGACATGCTGAATTCTGTCTTCCGAGTTGTCATAACGGTTATGAAACAATTCATATTGGCAAACGTCTGGTACCTTTTATTAGTACATATATGCCTCATTTACAAACATGACGTCTTTGGCGACCAGATGATTTTCCTTGGACAACTGGTAAGTTTACTTTAAATAAACAAAAAAGCAATCATAATAAAAATTTCTTAAAGGGTAATGCAAAATATCATTTCATTTTTATTTCTTTAATTTTTGTCAATTTTATTTTGTTATTTATTAATCAAACAAAGATTTTTATAATAAAACACAGTTTTATTTGAATAAAAAAAAATATTCTTTTGTTTTTTTTTTCTATAAAGTTTATTTATAAGTTATCGTATTTCAGTAAAAAAAATTTTGATACTTAACATTTGAGAAGTAATATCAAATACTTTGAAAGTTTTAGGTTTTATTGGAAAAATTGAGCAATCATTTGTGATTGAAAGAGTCAGAATGATTTCAATTGTGAAGTCTTTTTCTAATTTATTTCTATGAATAGTTTTCATATCAATTTTAAGTTAAAAAGAAAACAAGATAGACATATGTATTTAATTATTTAATAGTACTTGTAATTTTTGTATATTTTTATTTAAAAAAAAGGAATAGAAAACTAAGGAAAATTGTTGCACTTCAAAATATTAATTAAATTTACAAGTCTTTCGGGTGAAAAATAGTGAGTAGAAGAAAACAATAGAGTTAAAAATCTCATCCAAAGTAATTTTTGTGGCACAATAGAATTAAGCAAACAATAAAATCAACCTAATCAATTTACTCTATAAGAATCGAGAGTGAGTCCAGATAGATTGATAAAACTCTTTTGAAGTTCGCAAAACAAAGAAAAATCAAAAAATTCTTCATGATTCTTTAGAGTTCGCGTTGAAGAAGACATATGGAGAGATACGAAGAGCTCTAAAAGGATTTCTAGAGTTTTTTACATTAACTTTTTAGAACTCTTTAGATATTTTTGTTAATCTGTCAGCACTTTTTCTAGATGTTAATAAAGAAAATTTATTATGACAACTACGAAGAAACAATGTCCTCTCTCGTACATCTATTTCGAATATTGTGTTTCTTTTTTTTTGAAAATAGAAAGACAAAGAAAAAAAAAGGATCTTGTAAAACAATCCTTTTGATTCAATAAAGCAAAAACAGAAACAACATATATTCATAAAATATATACTCGATAGATTCAATTGAAAATAATTTTATGCTTCTTTATTTCAGTTCGACCAGATTATAAAAGACATTGCAATGATCTTTTACTTCTACAATGGCTAAAATCTTTACAAACATCTGAATCGTTTGGTGTATATATATATAAATACAAGAATTTTATACCAGAAATTAAATTAATAATATAATTTTTTTTAGCTCAACATGTGGTCATCTTTGAACAAGATCTTTGTCAATTGATCGACAAATTAAAAGGTTTTACTTTTCTTGATATTTATGGTAAAATTCATTACAAAAAAGTGAAACCTTATCGTTTAATGGTTCAAGCTCGTTTTCCACATAGTCGAGTAGATGTCGAAATATCAAGATTTCGTCTATGGCTTTAATTTCCCGTTTTTTAGTTATGTGCAATAGATGTGTGTTAAAGACAATTGTTGTTGTAAACTAGTTGTTTTTTTTGCTTGTGTTTCTTTAATATTGTAAATTGTAAGAAGCTTACATTCAATAATGAAATGTTAATATTGTTCTTGAAACAATATATTTTATTGTTTTCTGGAGAATTCTAATTTTGTTATTGGAGAAATTTATTATTATTATCGGCGCCAGAAGTCAGTGCACTCGGATGTTTTTTGAATAAC